TAGCAGCAGTAGCATTAATCCAAGACGTGAACAATTGTAGATTCATTCTTAAACGCAACACTTAATGAAATGTCTTCAAGGTCACAAGAAAGTCCTTCTCAAAAGGATAAATGAGACTAACATAGGCCCCAAAAGGATAAAACCAAACTAAAGAGGCATATTCTTATTTACATATTAAAACAAAAACATTCTTGTTAAAATACTGAATCTTTATAACACCTAAGCAAAAAAAAATGTATTTTAGGAATAAAGCAGAAACTCCTAAAGCAGTATCCGTTTTTTTGGAACCCTTATTTAGCACCTGAGGAAAGACTGTATGGAAAGCAGACAGTTTTTAAGAAAAAACTGCAAGTTTGACATTTGCTGAACGTTCATATGTTCGCAGTATACAATGTTCATACCACAGAAAGAAAAATTGATTTTTTGTTTTTTAAAAAGAGAAGCTACTAAACTCATTAATAAGGCTGTAGAAAAGGGATACTGCTATGTTACAAAATGGCTTTAGAACTCTGGACACAAGTGAAGTTTTCTGATTAACAGTCAATGATAAATACAACTCAGTATCCCCCAGTGAAAGCGAAGCTATGACTTCTGTTCCTTTAATGAGATTTCCATTTCACAACAGCAACCCAACACTCCTAGCAACGTATCACTGAGGAATTATTACACTCTGAACACAAGGTCACACAATACAACACTCCTGTGCTGCCTCAGACATCCACTACCTCTAGTGTCATGGTGCTAAGTTATACAACTTTGAGAACTTTAGACGGGATATAAGGAAGCCAGCTTTACCCTATCATGTAATACAAATTGGGCACATTTTTGAAGCTCTGTAATGCAGTGTGTCTGTAGAGGAGCCGGAGATCTTCCAATCCTTTGCATCAGTCCAGATTCATGGTTCTCAACTGGTTTCACTTTTTCACATGGGTAGGCACAATTCCATTACCCCTACGGTGCCAAAAGCCAGGACTTCTATCCCCTCCCACAACATTCCCTGCTTCAGTCACACCACACTTGGTTAGCAAAGATCTTGCAACCACCAAGTGAATCTTGCCTTGTGCACCTGCAAAAAACTCTTGTAGCAGCTTGAATCATATTTAGCCTTGCTCTCTCCTCTCCTAACCCCGCTCACCTCCTCCCTTGTAAACAGCCTCGATAATGAAAATGAACACTAAACATATACAAAAACATCCGAGTGATAGGATTACTGAAAGCACCAGAAACTGGAGCAAGTTATTGAAAATGCTATTACCAGAAAGAGCAAGACCTTAACACACAGACACTATTAGCCACGTACAAGTTGTCCTGCAATAATTATCATGTAACAACTTTCTGCCATGCTACCATCAAGAAATGTTTCTACTACCACCACCACCACCTTTTAGCAGCTGTTTATGAAGAAGGTGCATTTGCATCAAAATCCTGGTCTTTGAAAGGAGTGGTAGAAAAACACTAATTGCCTATGAAAGTTAGAGAGGACAATTTCCATCTCTCTGAAGTTATTTTATCAAAGCAGAAAGTGATTTTCATTTTGATTGAAATAGCCTGCTCTCTCTAGTCCCCTCCCCCAGCCATTGAGTACATGACATAGTTACCAATTTAACCGCAAAATGGCTTTTCCATATTGAAAAGAAGTTTGCAGCAATCAAAGAAGGCAAACAGTCAGATTTATGGTTCAAAATGGGTTAGTGACAAGAACTCGGCCTGGCCTTGCCAAACCAGAAGCCATCCACACTACACAGGTAGCTCTCAAAGGTGCACACCAGATCTGCTAGGCAACTGGCCTCTGCAGCTGTAATCAGGGTCCCCAAATAACTGAGCTGGGACTTCTTTGATTTAATAAAAAACTTGAAAGTAACCGCAGCCCTGTCAGTCTCATGGGATACCAAATGAGGAGCGCACAGAGGCCAATGCTGTCTGAATGCAAGGACAGACATCTCCATCATAGGAGGGAAGGGGGAAAACACAGGGCAACTGTTAAGCCATTCCTTGGAGTGGACAAAAACACACCTCAGTCCACCAAAGAGAAATAGCCACGTGTTTATTTTGGTACACATTCAGGTTTCATTTGTGCAAGACACATTACAGCTAATACCCCAATGAAACCTGCCACTAGAGGGATGAGGAAAGGAGAGAGGTGGGGGGTTGGGGTTCAGATTTTAGTTAGGAGGAAGGAAGAGGACACGTACACGCGCGCACACACATACACCCCTCTTGTGCTGGAATAGTCAAATAAATATAAAACTTCACTTGGTAAGGGAAGGGGGAGGGGTAAGGAGTAGGTTGACTCATAGGGCCTACAATCAAAAGAGAAAGTTAAAAGAAGCCTTTAACCTGAATTAGTATCTTCATAGCTATTAAAAAAATAGATCATGATTTCATTCTTAGTGCCACTTTCCAATACTACATGCACTTTAGGGTTTTGTTTTAAACTTATTTTACTCAGTATAATAAAAACAAATGGCACAAAATAAATACAAAGTTCGTTCTCCAAACAGGAATAAAACACTTGCACACACATTCATTCAGTTCCTAGTCTTCACGTCCCACCTCCCTTCATGCACCCTCACACCATGTTCAGTCCCCAGATGGGAGAAGGTGGCACCTTTTCTAGGCTGTATTTGGTTTATGCTACAGTACTAATACTCTGAGCCCAAGGACAATTCAGTAACACAATAGCATTGTTTAAATGGACTAAGTTAGTCACAGCTGAATTTGTTTTTATAAATTTACACAAAAATAATCAGAAAACAGATTAACTCTTAAGATTTTTTTAATAAGTGCTCAGTAAAGAATTGTGTGAGGACTTAAGGAGAAAGACTGCAGACACAGAGAGGGTTAAGTGTTACAAAACAGCACAAAGGAAATTTATTCCATGGTCCTGCCTGTCCCTAGGCAATAAAGTTTCTCCAAAGTTTCTGTTGCCCAGAAATACTGCCTTTGTTAGCAAGCTGGAACTACAGGGCTCCCAGAAAGAGAATTTCCTAACTGCTTAAAGCCAATGGTACAACCAATGGAGCTTTCGAGTGGAAGAGGCAGACGGTGAAATATTTTAAGAGATGAGATGCTCAAAAACACAATGGAGAGAACTGTAGAAGGTGTTTCTGCATCAAATACCAATGCGCCTAGGGAAGGGGCAAGGTGTGAGTAAAAGCAGGGGGAACAAACATTTAGAGATTTTATTCTGTTTCTTTTGAGAACTTATTTCGTTATTTGAAAGATGCACTGGATTGGCTAAGGTGAGTTTCCTCAATACTCAGCAAGACTAAGACACATTTCTAAACTCTAAGGGTCAGATTCCATTTAAAAGATATTGCTGTTCTGCTCCTGCATCACACCAACCCCAAAAGCAGATGTTGTGGGGAGCACAGCTTTATACCCCACGCAAGCAAAACAGGGCTTTTTTATATGGAATCCAGCCCTTAAGGCGGCAAGTGATTACACAAGGCAAATAAATATACAGCGGAACTTTAAAGCCTGTAAAACAAACTAGAGACTTTGCTATTGACCTGAAAGATTTAAAAAAAAACCCAAACATTTTTCGCCTCATTCTTTTAAGTCATATTTTCCAGTTTGTTCAACACTTTAAAGCTCAAGAACGCATCAGTTCTCTTTCAGAGGAACCGACAGCGATTCCATCTTTTGGCAAGCAGTCAGGAGACTTAACAGAATTAAAAAATAGGAACGTGGGAGGACTAGATGCAGGGCACATCTGTAAACATATTGTACATTTGAAAGTTACAAACACCTGTAAAGGTGATACAGTTTATAGGTGAAATAGAACTATTCCGCAACTGGCCAACCACAAGTTTCTGAACCTGGACTGATACAGTAAGTTATTTATTACTATATATATATATATATATATATATATAGTGTTATAATACATAAAATGGAGTAGGCAATCCACAGTTATACTTTTAAAACTAAGCATGGCAGAAAGCGAACAATTTTAAAAAGGTAGAGGAAAAATTAAAGTTTCTTTGTCCCACTATGAACCTGAGAGCTTCATTCAGGAACAACCTCAATAAAAGCATGAAACAATTAAAACAAAAAACACGCATGCTACATACCTAATTATTTTCTTTTTAAAAAAAGAGTAGATACATCTAAGCACAAAGAGTAGGCAAAAGTAATGGGGTTATTTCCGTCCCCTAATACCCCATGGGATCCAGTCTGATTTTACCAGATGCTAACTCCTGTCAATCTAAATGCCCAAATATTTTAGCCAGCACTCAGCTGTGAACACACAAGAGTATTTAAGAGTTGTGTCTGTATGGAATTTGGACAGGGCAGAAAACTTGTTTTGTTTCACTAATGATTAACTGATCAGTCTTACATTGGACCCCAGGAATTTTGCACCTTAAAAAAAAAACCCACCAAAAAAAAACCAAAAAAAAAACCAAAAAAAAAAACAAAAAAAAAACAAAACACCCAACACATTTTTAACATGCTACACACAAGCTGCAGCGCAACAGTATGGATTACACAATTGGAGCCTGCACTCTTCCGCCTTCTCTGCTATTGCCAGAAAGCTTTCCTTTGTTTTGATTTTTTTAAATTTTCATTCCTACCCCCGCATTTTGCTCTTGTAATAAAATATATTTTAATAGAGATATAATGAGAAGCAGCAAAAGAGCTCAGAAATACACAGACTGCATTAAAATATAAAAGAATATTTCCAATGGCCGGGACAGTATTCCCTCACCCATTGCTTTCAGGGACAAATGGGAAAGGGTTACGATTCCCATAGTTTTTTTCTCTTTTTTCCTTTTTCTTTTTTTTTTTTCTTTTTTTTTCCTTCTTTTTTTAGAACTTATTTCTAAAGAGAAAAAATAATTGAAGGATGAAAGTTAGCAGAACACAAACAATTTCTCTTCAGGTTTTCAGTGAAAACAGGAAAAAAAGCACATTTAGTGTTAAGAGACAGACAGAGCAAATATGAAGCACCTACATTTGATAGCAGGAGATATATATATATATATATATATATATATATATATATATGCATATATATATTTTTTTTGCTCCCAGTGATACAATGGCATAAAAGTGTGGGAACAGGGTTTTTTCCATATTAAATGCCTAAACCAATTGCTTGTTTTGCATGTTGTCTTTTAAAATGACACTCATGAAAGAGCTCTTCAGTTGTAATAGTCCAAAATGTAACTGGAGTTTTGTCAACTCTGTAAAACCAATGTGTATCCCAGAACTGCAGAATTACAATCTTTCCCCCCAGAAGAACGATGCTTTAAGACAATTTTCTCAGCACCTGATGGGCTGTTTGACTCCTGGCAAGACATGCAGATTATATTCTCTGGAAAAAAGGAAACCCTGCAAACTTCAAGGCGTTTCTCCAGCATTCACACAGGGTTCAAAGTAAAACAAAAAGGAGGTGGAGGGGAAGGGGAGATGAAGGATGGTGAAACATCCCGATTTCCCTGTGATTAGTGTATCACTACAGTCACAGAACAAGAAACAGAAACCTTGAAAGTGGAAATGCCTCTCCAACGGTCACTGTTGCCCATGTTGATGACAGCAGGAACTTTAGAACCAGGCTTGTGAATTGAGTCTGTATTCATTAATCATTTGCATTCGCTCTTTAAACAAAAACAAAAACTAAAAAACCTATTCAGTACCGGAGATTAAATAATCACGTGTGAAGTCTGTTGAAATAAATTTTCAGATTCCTTAAGAAGTCTAATTACTTTCAGTCGCCATTTTTTAAATAACTATATATAATTTGTATATATTATCCTGTGATTCTAGTTATGGTTCCTCTGCTGCACTGAAGATTTAGAAGGCGCATAAAAGCCTTTTGTCCCCTGTGAACAGCATCACGCTGCAGAAAGGTTATAACAGGCAGTCTTGTCCTGCTACCTTCATTGATCTGGACATTCCATGGCTTCATCGTAAGTGATTATCCTTTTGGGATCTGAAAAGAAAAATTAAATTCAGCTTTAAACAAATTAAACCAACAGTGTTCAGGTTCTGAAGCAGAAAATATTCATGGGCCGGAGACCCATAAACCAGCAAAACACTTAGCTAATTGTTAAAACCCTCCTTTTTCCCCTCACTGAACTGCCACAATTTAAAAGGCAGTTTCCTCTTTGCTGACAGGTCAGTGATCTACTTCCTCTATACAAAGGAGCTGTGCAGTGTTCCAGTGGACTCCCAGCAACAGCACCTCCAGCCAATGTATTCAAGAGCCTAATTGACTCCACACAGATGAGTGCTCGCTCCCAACATTAGATCAGTGCAGTAATACAGCAAAGAGTACAAAGGTCTTCATTTAGCGTTCTTCCCACAAGTGAAAAGAAACTTCATTTTCACAGCTGAAATCTGGATACCCAGGAAAGTTCAAGGTTGATATTTGGGTGAAGTCTGACACCAGCAATTACAAAATTACAGGCGTTATCAGACCTAGCCTGATTTTTGTTTTTTACATTTCACGATGGGGCTTACAGTCCTGATGGTCACCACTTCTGAGCACCCACATCTTCAGCTAGCATCACGGGGAGCGGACGGTGGTCAGCACCTTTAGAAGCCAAGCCCCAGACATCTCACCCACTGCCTGCTTTTGTTCAGGACACTGCTTCACCATGCTCAGCTCTTAAGCTGTCTTGGTTTAATGCAACATGTCATTGTTACTAGTGTCACTTTCATTTTTTAAAACTCTTACCTTGCTTTTGCAAATTCCAAATAGATTCCATTTCTGTGAAGGCAAAAGAGAGAGAGAGTTAGTGTTCTGCAGCACTACTGGACAGTCAGCGAAGCTTCAGGACATGCTTTCCTTTTCAGGCTTAGCACTATACTATAACTGCTGCACTGAATTTATCAGATAAAGGGCCAATTTCTGTCCACAGTAACACTGAAGTGCACGAGGTTGCTCTGGTGCAGAGGGGAATCAGGCCTGAATGATGTGGTAATCAGAGGCCTAGAAGCAGCTGCAATACAGCCTGAGAAGTTAGACAGCCAACTTCGTATCAGAAACGAGATGTGTCACTTCCCACTTTCCAGTCTTACAAATCGCTACCCAGCTCAAGATTTACTATACTGATTGGAATACCCCTCAGAAGCAACTATTTCAACTTCTACAAGTAGCCTGAAGTGCTGATTTTTATGAGTAGATAGTTATAGCATGTGAAATTAAAACTGCCAGAAAAAGTAAGTGTCTCCTGGCTCACAGCACAGACCTGCTGAAGCATGGCATACAGAATGGTATTTGACTAAGATCACCATGAAACCAGTAAGAAGCATTTGTGCAAACATATCAGAGAACGAGGACATGTCTACACTTGAAAATGCTACAGCTGCACCATGTGGACACTACCTCCCGTCTACATAGGAAACCCACCTCCCTGAGAAGTGGTAGCTAGGTGGCTGGAAGAACTCTTCCGTTGACCTAGCACTGTCTACACTGGGGGCTAGGTTGGTTTAACTATGCTACTTAGTGGTGTGGCTTTTTCCACACCTCTAAACAATGTAGTTAAGATGCCTTCATTTTCTAGTGTAGACCAGGCCTGAGACACAAAAGTATGCACAGAAACATCAAGAGATTGCCAAGCTACTTGCTCAACATACAGCTTTCGTTATAAAAGCATCCTGGAGCCAATTTAAACAAATGCTCACTAACAGAACACACATTTTCTATTTACCTAACCCCAACAAAGACATACAGTGATGGCACTTTTAAATATGTCTCCCCAAATTCACATGCAGGGTACCAACAGGAAGATACAACACAAAATGTGACTTCTCTAAGGAAGCCAAACTATATTTCGTAACAGATCTTGAGTCCTCTTGAAAAGAAACAGGGTTATTCACGTAACAGGTCTTTATTGTATGGCTTATACTTGTGGCGAAGGAGCAGAAATGCTGCAAAATAAAATGAATCAGCTTTAAGAATTCCTTTCTGAGAGCTTTCAGAGTAGCAGCCGTGTTGTTCTTTTTGCAGATACAGACTAGGAGTCCTTGTGGCACCTTAGAGACTAACAAATGTATTTGAGCATAAGCTTTTGTGGGCTACAGCATACATCCGATGAAGTGGGCTGTAGCCCACGAAAGCTTATGCTCAAATAAATTTGTTAGTCTCTAAGGTGCCACAAGTTCTCCTGTTCTTTCTGAGAGCAAAGCCAGTAACTGTGCTAAGCAGGACGTGGATGGGAAGTGGGCAGGAACGGAGAATAGCTGTGGGAGAACAGCAATACTATTACCAAGGATGGGAGTGGGGGCCTTCAAACACTGGAACTAGGCAATAAGGAAATTAGGCAGCATGGAAAGGGGAAGGGGCAAAAGGAAAATACCTACAAAATTAACGGATTTAACCTGGTACATGCCAAATGCCACCTCAACTGTTTTACGGTGGTTTCCCCATCACCCACCTGTGTTTTGTTTGCTTATATGGCAAGCTCTGTGGGCAAGAAGTTGCATATTGATACATGCAGTGAAAACTCGGATAACATTTAGGCCTTTTGTAACAAAGCCAGTCACAAAATTGTATTAGACCTGTTATTTTCATGTCATGATAACAATAATACTCTGCGCTCATCAGATGACACAAAGTGCTTTACAAAACATTAACTAAGCCTCACAACAGCCTGAGAGAGGTCCGTGCCATAAGTGACCACTACTCATCCGTGCAATGCAGCCTTCTAGGAGGTGAAATGAAGCATTTATTGGAAGTGCAAAGCAGCATTACACTTGCCCATTCAAAAGGACACAGTGCATGCACCATTTCCTAGCTGCTAAAGAAGATCACTGTTACGAACAGTCTTGTCCAACTGGGTGGGAAAAGAAAAAGGAAAAGACAACTGGAAACCATGAGCCCTCTTGCTAGCTGCAGAACAATTAACAAGTTACTATCAAACACTGTAATGATTCAAATCAGTTACATTAGAATAAAGATGAGGAAGAGTTCAAACCCCTTCCACCACCACCACTCTCATGGGGAAAAAAAAAAACAGGAAAAGTTCTTGGCTTCTGTGCTTTCGTTTGGTCCTAACTGCATCAGATGCCACAAGTGTGAAAGCTGTATTACGTCAGAGCATGTCCGACACCGAAAGACAGACTCATACAGAACTAAAATGAGAAAGGCAAAAAGTTGTCTGAGGTTTGTAATCAAAGACCTGGTCTACACTATAGAGTTCGGTCAATGCAAGGTAGCTTATGTCAACCTAACTATGGAAGTGTCTACACCATAATTTTGCTCCTGTCAACGTAGCTACCGCGTGCCACTGACTTGACACTGCTGCTTGTGGAGGAGGAGTTAAGGTCAATGTAGTGTCAGTGCAAACACGGAGTTGCTTACACTGACTGTCACTGTCTTTCAGAAGACATCTCACAATGTCTCAAGCTGACGGTACAATCAGTACAAGCGCTCCTAGTGAGGACACACATCGCTGACACACGAAGTAGAACTTAGGTTGATGTAATTCTGTGGTACAGACATGCCGAAGAGGAAAGAACGTAAAAGGAACGCAGCTTCCTTAAGCTACGTCTCAACTTAAAACACTGCAGCGCGTCAGTGTACACTTCTATATTCAGGGGAGGGGTTCTCCTGTCACTGAGTAGTCCACCTTCCTGAGAGGTGAAGGTTAGGTTGACAGAAGAATTCTTCCATCAACCTAGCACTGCCAACACAAGGGGTTACATTGGCTTAACTTGGCCTCTCAAGGATGTGGATTTCACACCCGAGGGACAGAGCTGTGCGGATGTAACTTGGGGTAGACTAGCCTTTAGCCTCTAAATGTGATCTTCCTTTTTCTCCGAAGGAGGACAGGTAGAAGGGACGAGGGCGATTGGAGCAGGGTCCTGTAATTCCTGGCTATCTTGAAGCGATGGTTATCAAAGTGTACAGTCTGACAAATCCTGAAGAATTAACATAATTTATGAGCTCATAACATTAGTCTGAGACAGACTGCCATAAACCTGGAATTAACTATTCTGATAAGGAATGGGTTTAAATGCTAAATAAGAACAAATACATGTTCCTCTCCTCTGACTGACCTGTAACACTGAAATGCAGTCACCCCATACTATCTGAACATTTTATTTACCTGCTGAAACTCTTTCATGAAGGAAAAATACTTCTCTCCCCATTGGCTCTCTTGAGCCAATTACAACAGAGAACTAATGAGCTTAATACTTCCATCAATCTTAATGTTGGATTCTTAGATTCATTCTAGGAAAAGCGTATTGAACAGTTTGAGTTTTCCCCGTAGTTCTGGATTATCTCGGTGCCTCACTCATTGGCCCTTCATATCTGGCAGCTCAACAAATTGACCACGGCAGAAAACCCCTTTAAATTCATCAGGACAATGACCGGGGGTGAAGGACAGAGAAAAAGGAAAGTTGCATAATTTGGAACGATTAGTAGAAGACTGTTTAGAATTGTAGGCTAAGTCCCTTAGATCTATGACTGGATTTCCCAGCTTCCCATTCTCGGTTTTGGGATCAGTTTTTACACACTGATGCTGGTGAAGTTTGACGCTCCTAGCCTCCTCCTTTTTTCAGGCACAATAATAGGAGCTGCAACTTCTCCACGCTCCCCACAGGATTTACAGCAGTGAGACAGCGCCAAGAAGATCCTTTTATTTCCACAATCGCCTTTCCCTAGAGGAGGCTTCCATAACCCCCAGAAATACAAAGGAGAACTTAACCAGGAATCGAATAACCGATTCCTTAAAAAGCAAGAGGAGCATCCCCCCCAACAAAGATACACAGTATGTTCCTGCTCCAGGACCTCAGCTCAGACTGCAAAGCCTCAAGAATCAGTGAAATGTGCGGGGGGGGGGGGGGAAGGGGGAGGGAGAGAGAGAGAATAAGAGATGCTAGATTTTCAGGAACAATGACAAGTGAAACAGTGCATCTTCTCTCCAGAGACCCGCAAACCCTGAAAGATTTCACTAGCAAACCCTTCCAAGAGAATAGGGATGAGATTCAATGGGTCTGGTACCCTTCCCATGAGGTCTCCCAAACCCTGGGCTCTCCAGGTCCATGCTCTATGAAGCTCTTAAATTCCACAGGACCAGGGCTCAGCTCTGGCAGGCAGGAGCTCCACCTTCCTGGTGATCTCAGGAGATGTCTGGGACAGGGCGTTCCAGCAGTGTCCAGTCATACGGCTTGAGATTGTGGAATTACTACTTATCTAGGAAATCAAGAATCCTACAATGGGACCTGTGTGGAGACACCTGCACGGAGCCCTATGGATTCAATGGGGTTCCCAAGTCCCACACATATGGCTCTGACAATACAAGAGGGGCCTAACCTAATGGGAAACAGAAGCCTGGCTATGGATTCTATATAAAGATGGATACTTAACTTCCGTAAAATCTCTCCCTCCAGAGAGCCTGCCAGTGGCCAACAGGTTACATATTTCAGTAGTGCCGCGGGCTAGATGTTTGTTGATTTCAATTTACTATGTCAACTGTAAATATCCTGCTCAAAACAGAAAACTAGAAAGGAAGCTAGGGAGAGGGAGGCTTTTAATACCAGCTTCCCCATGGTTTGATTTGTGTCCCTCCTTGCTTGTTGGAGGGATTTATATTATGTTCTGGTTTGGTATAGGAAACCATGCACAAGGCTAAAACTGTGTGTGGATCTTCAGTAACTCTGTACCACAGTTCTAGCCACTAATTAATGGATCCTGATCAGCAGGAAAAACACAAAAACACAAAAACAACAGCTGCCATGTGTTTAAAACAGCTGCCAATACATGACCATTTAGGATATGAAATATAGTTTTTTTAAAGGGAGCATTTAAAGCAATCCGAAAGTAGTTACTTCAGCTAAAGTATAGCTGGGACAAATATACCATACTCTTGTTTAAAAAACAGGGTACCACCAGAATTGGTAAAGACCACAGTTTTATCTCAACAAAGAGATGACACTTCAATAGCCCCTACTGCATTGCCATGACTGGGTCAGTGCTGATCCAGAGGGAAGTGAAGCCCCCTGCAGAGTTAACACCACCTCCTGCAGGTCTGGGGGTTTTTCAGACTCCCATCCAAAATGATGGTCCAATCTCCAACCATGTAGCAACCAGGCCCAATATTTAGCTAGTAGATTGATTTAACACATAGTTGATTCCTTTTACAGTACTGCAGGACATAGTGGAGACGTACGAGTTTATCAGCAAAGAGACAGGTTGTTTAGCTCACCCAGAAGTTATGGGTTTGTTACAGAAATAACTAGTTGAAATGGACCAGTGTTATGCAGGAGGTCAGACTAGATGATCATAAGAGTCCCTTTTCAATGGAACCCTGGAGGCAAAGCAGGGAGAAAGACTTGTGAAACTAACTTTCAGAGCATCCAAAAAATAAAAAGGTGCACAAGCAAGCACTGCCAGACCTTCAGCATGTTTCCAGTGCCTGACACCCATGTGCCCAGCAAACTGATGAGGGCAAAAGCACACTGAGTACATGTCTTCACATGTACAAACATTCCACTCCAAGAATTCCCATATCCAGCAATAGACCTTATAGCAAATCGTACCCTGTCTGAAAAGACAACGCTGTCCAATGCCTAGAGCACAGGACTAGGACTCAAACGCTATTCCCAGCTGCCTCTGATTGTACTGCCACGTGCCTCAGTTTCCGTCCTCCCCATCAGTAAAAGGACAGCAACACCTTTCAATGGGAAGCTGAGACTGTTACTCACATTGTGTAAAGCACTTTCAACTCGTGGATGGAACATACATGTACAGAAATTATCAACAGAACCATCCTGTGTTTTAGTTTGCGAGGACTCAACTATGAGCGTTACCAGATTAAGATGGAGGACAGATCTGAGAAGCAAGCCATCAACACCTCTCTTTCCAGGTTGATTATTTGCTTTAGAGGAGCAATTCCCCAATGAAATCCAAACACACTAACTGTTCAGTCTGCACAAATCTCCCCCAAACTACAACAGCTAAAACACAAGTTAGGCTTTCAGCTTCTCACCATTGCAGATAGCACAGAACAATTTGTCAGACTTACTTCATAGGAACATGGCAGTTATTTATCAGGGACACTGGGAAACTGCACAAGACAAACAGTGGCAGAACCGTGGAGAACTTACCATTATTTTGCTGTTCTACATATTCTGAAGCTTTGTTAGACATTTTATTAGAGCTTGTTCATGATGTAGAATCATAGAATATCAGTTGGAAGGGACCTCAGGAGGTCATCTAGTCCAACCCCCTGCTCTGTGCTGTGGTCTGACTGTAGGCCAACAGAACATAAGCAGAAAATGGTGCTGGTATTTTCACCCACACATACAGATCACGGACTACAGCCCATATCCTGTAACTGGATGTGGGCAGACAGACCCTTGCACCAGCGTGGAGCTCACCAATTTCAATTCGGCTCTGGCTGGTCACCCACCAGGATTTGATTGCAGGATCATGGCCTTAACGAGTAATTACTTTTTGCAGCTGTCTGTGAGGAAGAGCAGTATGTCTCACACCACAGATCCAAAAAAAATGGCACTTCAGAAAATATGCTCCAAATCATGCTGGAATCCTTTCAGAACAAATGCAAACATACAGATGAACCAGAAAGCAGAAAAATGGGAAGACACACTCAAATTTGGACTTTGGTTTCCACTTCCCAAACCAGGAAAGGCATCTAATGAGCACTGACTCGTATGATGCATGCTTCCCAGCAACCCATGTCACATGATTTGTATGGCACTGATTACAAGAGACATCCACCCATTATCTTCTAGGCTGAAGCCAAGATGTCGTCTGGAAATTGGTATAGGAGAAGGCAAGCTGAGAAATAAAGAAGGCACCTGAGAAGGCTGTTGGGGCAGAGAACTCCAGCTCACCCCAAACACATCCCAGAATCATAGTATGACTGGAGTTACTGCTCTGGATGGGCCAAAATAGAAAAAGTGTGTGTACAGGTGTGGGCAGAGGGGGCTGCCGGCAAAGGAAAGGGAAGAGCTGCACAATTAGTTTAGAAGTGCTTTCATTCCCATTGTTTATTTCTGCCATTGACAATGATTAGCTCCTTCATAGAACGTGGGAGGGAGATTGTTCATCACCTCCAATGTAGCTACTACTATTTAGGCGGAGACTGTCTTGCCCAGCTGACTGAAGAAGGGAAGAGATCTAAAGAATAGTGGTAACAGAATAGCTACTTAGTTTCTTTAAAAAATAAATTTAAGCTGAGCAAAACCAAAATAAAAATCCAAGTTTGCAACTGTTGCAGAAATCTCCAGACAGGGCAGGATGAGGCTTGTCTGGAACTTTATTTCCCAGTGTCCCTGGTTTTCTCTGAAAGGCTGGCTGAGATTCAAGACTCAACAGGTGCAAGGAACACAAAATTCTAAAGCTCTGCTTCGTGACTAAAAGAAATCTTGAAGTGTAGATAAAAATAAATTGATGAACACTAGGTTGTTATTCCCAATGAGAATACTAGAGCATAAAGGGTTACGAAATTCCAGTGTGATGACCTGGAATAATTTTTGAGTTGCTTAATAGCAAACAAAGCCACCAAGATTTCTACGCTTTACCTGAATGAACTATGAAGGCCTTGGAGAGGTAATTTTGCACTCTCTCTCTGCAATGGGTCATAATGCATTAAATTTCCACTTAGGCCATTAAAGAAATCTTGTCCCCCACTTCTGAGCAGCTATCATTCAGCTCTCCCCCGAAAGGAATACTTCATGTAAGACTGCCTGGAGCATCTTCCTTTTTTTTTTTTTTTTTTTGGGGGGGGGGGAAGAAGGAGGGGGTGAGAAGAGATAGCAAAAAATAAAATAAAAGGGAACTGCCCAAAAGGTAGATAAGCAACAGCAAGTCAAAACAGCACCTAGCTCAGAGGTGGGCAAACTATGGCCCGCTCCTGCCCAGCCCCTGACCAGCGAGGCTAGCCCCCAGCCCCTCCCCCGCAGCCTCAGCTCACTGCACCGCCGGCACAATGCTCTGGGCAGCAGGGCTGCGAGCTCCTGGGGCAGCGCAGCTGCAGAACCCGGACTGACCCGGTGCTCTGTGCGGCACGGTGGCGTGGCTGGCTCCAGCCAGGTGGCACAGTTGTAGCACCGCCAGCCACCGGTGCTCCAGGTAGCATGGTAAGGGGGCAGGGGAGTTCGGGGTGGTGGTCGGGGGGGCAGGGGTCCCGGGGGCAGTCAGGGGACAGGGAGAAAGGGTGGTTGGATGGGGCAGGGGGGGAGAATCAGGAATGAGAGGAGGGGTTGGATGGGGCAGCAGGGGGCAATCAGGGGACAGGGAGCAGTCGGATAGGGGTCAGGCCACGCCTGGCTGTTTGGGGAAGCACAGCCTCCCCAACCAGCCCTCCATACAATTTTGGAAACCCGATGTGGCCCTCAGGCCAAAAAATTTGCCCGCCCCTGACCTAGCTAACTGAACTGCAGAGCTGGCAAGAAGAGGCAGAGAGCTTGTGAACATTCAAAAACTTCTGAGCCAAACAAGAACGAGGGGTAATTTGAGTCATTTTATTCTATTGGCTCCTAGCTGGAAATATCCATGTCATGTCTCAAACACCCAGCTCTTCTTTTTAAAAAAACCCTGAAGCGTTGTCTGTGACAGACAGCCTTAAAACAAGAGGAACAGACCAGGTGAACCAGTGGGTCCGTTGAAGAGGGTGAAAGCTCAGCAATATCAGAAAGTTTTGGAAGATCTACTCACCATACATGAATTTAAACAGACACAAACAGGCACCAAAGGTAAAACAGCTGCTAACTATTACCTCTACCAAATCTCACACACTTACCCACATGAATAGAGAAGTGAGCACCTTTAACATAGCTTGAATGAAATCAAGTGACTGCTAGAGTATTTTAAAAACAAAATTCTTATACTGCTGGCCATCAAAGACAGGGAGCACCAAGGCCGTTCTTAAGATCAAGGCATGCAACCTTTACCGGATTGGATTTTCCCAAACCAATTAAGAGAGAGCTCCATTAGGAAACAAATTGAACCATTACCTTTAGTGTGATATACAATAGCAGCCCTCAGGTCAAAAGAACCCCAGCTATCTTTCCTTTCTAGGCCTCTCTGGTACCTCTGATCTTTGGCGGAGGCTAACAAATTGTTCGTAGGAGAGGCCAAGGGATTCTCTAGTTCATAGTCCTTTGAGAGGAACACTAAAGCACCTTGGCTACTGGTGTCTGCCATTTGCAGGTCACCTATGTGATGTGGCTCCAAAGACAAGACTCCAATCTCATTAGCAGTCCCAGGCTTTATAATAGCACTAAGTATTTGAGGGCTAGTCCGTTTTTCCAGCTCATAAGCCTTAGGAAACACAGGTTGTTCAGTTCCTGAGGGAATGATTTCAGCACCCTGTGAAACCAAAGTGGCAGGATATTCCCCTTGAAATGTCACTTCCATTATTTTATTATCCATTGATTTCCCCAGAACAGTCTCAGGCCCAGCACTGGGCTCATTTATAAATGATAAACCCCACTGGTTCTGGAAGATATCCCCCAGGTTCTGCTGATTTGTCTGAGACGGCAGATCTACCTGTGCTGCGCCCAAAAGCACAGATTGCATATTTGAAGGGTAGATAAAAAGGCTAGACTTCTTTTGTTCAACGGCTGTTGAAGTTGTACTTATGTCCTGGTGTACGGACTCAGACGAGGTTGAGGTTAAAGTACTAGCAGCAGTTGTGAGCAGTGGCTGGGTCCCTGGAGAATATACATTTCCATCAGTCCCTGCTAAAATGGGCCCATTCGAAAAGCTAGCAGAAGTAACAGACTTCATAGCAGACATGGGGACTTGGGACAGTCGACTCGGCATCTGGGCCTGCGTTTCTCCAGTAGATGAAGACGACGATGAAGAAGACAGAGACGAAGATGGGTTTTGAGCTGCTTTGTTGAGGTTTTCTTTAACTTTGCTTGCATAACTTATTTTAGGAACTATTTTAGCACTGCTGTTGTCCACTGGAAAAACTGGGGGTGGTTTAAACAGGGTCCACGAGTCCTCTTTTGATGCAGCCGCTGATGCATGCTTCCCCTTGGGCCGGTCATCAAACTTTTTGCTGCTAATCCCAGGTTTGGCATCAGAGTTTTTTCGTTGTACCTCCCCAACCCCAGTTTTCCCACGGCCTGCTCCTCCAGGCCCAGCTTCATACTTCCAAACAGGCTTAGTATTGTCAACTCGGTTTCCCTTTTGTTCACTGTAGTCAGTCTTGAAACTCTCAAGTTCCTGTTTTAAGGATGGGGCATTGACCTCCTGTTGCATTATTTTGTCCTGCACTAGATTCAAGTTCTCACACCCCTTGGCACTGTTACGCCTGCCTTTCCGTTTCTTAGGTGTGGTATATCCACTCTCAGACCCGCTACCATCATTATCTGCCCCTTTGCCTACATAGCCATTAGTGATATAACCAGAACTATTTGTTACAACACCATTTGGAATAGATACTGCCTCTGGCTTGTCTGAGGATTGATTTTCTCTAAGTTTATTCTCATAAATTTTTTCATTCTTTTTGTCCATACTGTTTTTCTGAATGAAGTTCTTGGGTTTGATTCCAGCTTTCCCAAAGGTGCTGGCCTTAACAGTCTGCTTTGGGTTTACATTAGTGTCTACAAGTTGCTGGCTGCCATTCGGTACCCTGGAAGATGGGTTGGTTGTTTCATCAGCACACAGGCCCTTTAATGATACTTCTCTTTCTCCTGCGTTACCATTTAGCTCTCCATAACCTAAAAACAGGCAAAAAACAACAAAAAGGCAAGAATTAAAATGTGAAACGTTAAACTTCTGATTGAAAAAAAAAAAAGCTATAATTAAACCTCTAAGCATAACCAGCTTCTTCAAATAGGCTTTTTAAAAGAGTAAAAAGCGTCCACCCTTTGATATGTGAAAGCAGGTCCTTACCACTTAACGTCAAAGTAAAGGGTATGGTCTCACCTCAATGATGGGAGTTAAGCACATAAATCCACTAGAAGGAAACACTTCTCTATGGACTCTAACATGCAATAGAGCATTTGGCAGGCCTCTGGGCTCTTATTTTTTTTAAAGAATATATCCCTTTGCATACAGAAAGCAATAAGGCTATTCACAATGCTGAAGAGAACTGAAACGTTATTTTGGATTTTCAGATCAAGGAAGGGGAAAATTCACTCCCAAGAAGCTACAACTGGATCTTCCACCTTTGCTAAGTCAATTTCTTAAAACCCAGCATATTATGAACAGAGGGCCAATTTTTATAAGCTCCTGCCATCTCTAAGGTCTGCAATACTATTTAGAACTGACTGCCATGCAAAGCTGAAGTGCACAAATGTCAGTGATCGATACCTCTTAGTTAACCATGACCAAATTCCACCTCTTTGTTACGTGACTGTATTTTTGGTGTGAAGATGAAGAAATTATGCTATTTTCCTAGTAAAATTCTTATTCACTTAAAGATACACGATAATATGGTTTGATTCTGGTAAGTTTAAGAATGCTTAGGACATTGCTATACAAGCTACTTCAAAGTCCCTGTTGATCAACAGGACTTCATCCAATTCATACACTGATTACGTTTCCACCTTGTCATTGTTTCTCAAACACTGCTTTTTGCACCCAGGACAGTGAGAGACAAATAGCCCCAACTCTCACTTCATCCTATCCCTAAGTACCATCTGTGAGCTACATTTTCCAGTGCTCATCAGCTTTGGAAATGCTTTTAGAAAATTTCCCATTGTAACATTCCCTCATGTCATTTCAAAACAGTGTTAAAAGTGATAGGAGGCCCACCACTTCCCTGCATGAGTTATTAGCTTTAAAAAGATAACACAACTGGAAAGAAATAATCTTCTATTCTTTAGATGAACTTTTCCATCAGTGTGAGGCCAAGCCATTGAAAAACTACAGTATTACAAGGGCACCCTGGGAAAAATGGAAGTATTGGCAGATCTGGATTTAGGTACAGGAAACACAGGCCCTTACCTAGATCCCCACCTCATTGAATCATGTGATTACATCAGAATCTCAGCTTCCCTCAAAAGAAAAAGTAGGTTTCTAGCCCTCGTGGTTGCAAAGAGAAATTCAAAAACATGACCAGGTGCAACTGATGCATTGATGTCTGCAGAAAAGCATGAACTGTCCTATGCACATGAATGGCGCACAACTCCAAGACCTACCGCTCTGGAGGGCCCCACCATCACTACATCAACAGAGGACTATATTTGTGACGGGGAAGAATGCAGTGGGCTCAGTCCACCCACCATAAACAAGTAAATAATGGAGTGCCCTGCTGCTACCCCTTTGGAGGGGGAGGGCCCTGCTGGAGCTCTTGGGACAAGGAAGGAGATCCAGGGTGTTGCCCCTAACCTTTTTTTTTTTTGGGGGGGGGGGGGGGAAGAGTGATCACTACTGCCACTTCAAGGGCAGGTGGGGCCAGAAGCCAGCCCCCCCCCCCAAATGTCCTGGCATCTCTGGGGCTTCAAATTACCTTAATATGGCTTGAGTGTGCCAAACTTTTCAGATGCAAGAAAACTCATGTGTTCTCCTCAACAGAAAACAAGTTGGGCCTGATTCATTACACTGTTTTAAAAATGGTGTAAGGCAGGTGACACCCTGGTCTAGCAAGTTCAGAATGAATATTTTCCAAGCAGAAATTTTATTATTATTCTTCAACTGCTATGCTAAAAACTGTCACTCTCAAAATTAAGGGATCTTGCATCCTAAACACTCCTGCCTAGTCTACAACTAAAACTAAGGTCAACTTAGCTACATCGCTCAGGGCTGTGAAAAAGTTCAGGCTCTGTACAACACAGATAGGTCAACTTAACCCACAATGCAGACACAGCTAGGTCAGTGGATTTACTACTGCTACAGAAAAACCCCTTTTATTGCTGTAGTGTCTACACTACAGCGGCGTAGCTGCAGCTGGGTTGCTGTAGTACTTATAGTGCAGACATTCAGCTGCCAGGCATCTGAGGGTAAGTGGTCATATCTTGTGGAACTCTGAACCAGGGAGATTCCTGCAAGAACCCCATTGCTCAGCTTGTTGAGGGAGGTTAAACAAGGTAAGTCAGTGTGTAACTATCAGCAACTGCTATAAGTTTTCCAATAGTGTAATGGTGTTAATATTGTTGACCATAAATACTTCAACCCAACGAAGCACAGATTGATGGAATTCTGATGGATGAGCCAAGGATTGAAAATTAGTTTCAGGATGACATGCAGAGAGCAAGTCTTTTCAAGGATAAGATACTGTATAAGGCCTTTTGTGACTCAGATTTCTGACATCACTATTTAATAAAACAAAATAAAGAGAATGATCATAAGACCACTATGCATCAGGAGTGAGAGAAACTAATGGATTTTGCTTTTGACTTCATTAAGAGTGTCAACAGTTTCAAGTTCCAGTTTTCAGGCATTTACATGAACTCCGTAAATTCTCTCCAAGCTAATGCTTGGAATACAAGGTGTTGGCTTGACAGCTGTAAAAGTGCACTTCAAATAGGGAAGCTTATTCTGCCACTGTCAAGTTTTAGAAACACAGAAGTATGTTTCCAGATGTTTTGTTTGGCCGTAAGACCCCAAAAAAGACCTCAGAAGGACATTTTTAAACTGGAATTTGACAGGCATTAGTCCAAAGGCACACAACTTTCCAATATATCCAAAGGCGGTAAACTTGGATATTATTTTTATTCAGTTATTTTGTTTAATAACTTGTTTCAGCATATACTTAGTCAGTCCCCTATTACACTCACCTGCAGATGATTGTGCAAGACTCATTAGCATGCAGGTTTGGGGCACCTTGACATCTATTTTTGATACAGTTCAGGTCCCTAATAGCCTTTTGGGTAGCCAGCAAAAGAACATCTTAAAAGACTAAATGCACATGGCATTCCAACAGCTTTCTGAACTTTACTATAACATACCATTAAGTGTTCACCAAAAAAAAAAAAAAAATTAATTCACACGGGCATCAGTAATATAAGTTGTAAAAACAAAGTCCTGGCCAGACTGAGATTTGAAACCATGGCCCCGATCCTGCAATGTGATCTGTGGGGGTATGGAGTGGACTGTGTGGGTGGGGATCAGTCGGCTTTAGCTACCACTTTTCTGGAGAACCATGTTTAAATACTGGTCTTGGTAGAAAGATGCTAACACAATTCCAAATTTCTGTGCTGATGGTTTTATTCACCCAACATACAAATAACCTTCTGTAACAGGGAAATAGGCAAGTTTTAGGATTTTTTTTATTTTTCTGTCATTAAACTGGATGCGGGCCAGAGAAATGTTTGGAGATTCTTCCCTTCAGCTCCTTGAGAATAGCATTTAGGAATCCCAGCCCCATGCAGAGTCTAATAGAATCATAGAATATCAGGATTGGAAGGGACCTCAGGAGGTCATCTAGTCCAACCCCCTGCTCAAAGCAGGACCAATTCCCAACTAAATAATCCCAGCCAGGGCTTTGTCAAGCCGGGCCTTAAAAACCTCCAATGAAGGAGATTCCACCACCTCTCTAGGTAAAGCATTCCAGTGCTTCACCACCCTCCTAGTGGAATAGTGTTTCCTAATATCCAACCTAGACCTCCCCCACTGCAACTTGAGACCATTGCTCCTTGTTCTGTCATCTGCCACCACTGAGAACAGCTGAGCTCCATCCTCTTTGGAACCCCCCTTCAGGTAGTTGAAAGCAGCTATCAAATCCCGCCTCATTCTTCTCTTCTAGAGACTAAACAATCCCAGTTCCCTCAGCCTCTCCTCATAAGTCATGTGCTCCAGACCCCTAATCATTTTTGTTGCCCTCCGCTGGACTCTTTCCAATTTTTCCACATCCTTCTTGTAGTGTGGGCCCCAAAACTGGACACAGTACTCCAGATGAGGCCTCACCAATGTCGAATAATGAAGTCAATAAAAAAAACTCCAGAGTGACTTCAATGGATTTAGGATCAGATCCTTACCCACAGTTTAGTTTTCAATGAATGAAAGTGAGGTATTTGGAATGAATTCTCTAAAGGACCTTCTGGACTGCCAGTTATAAAATCACTTAAAGACCAGTCTCACTCCATGGAAGGCAATGGGAGTTTTTCCATGGGCTTCCTTGGAAGCAGAATCAAGCCCCCAGAGAAGTGGCTGGGATCTCTACTTTTGAATACAGCCTTTCTTCCACTAATACAAAAGCTAGGATTTTACCTGGGCATTGAAAGGAAGATATTGCAGAGCAGTTGCAACATATACCTAATTCGCAGGCAAAGTAAGAAAACCAGAGGAATGATTTTCTAATCACAACGAGACAATGTGCTGTCACTCTCCCAGGAAGCTTTATGAAGTTTAAAATACTGATGCTGAATTGTGTGGAGAATTAATGAATGTGTAGTGTTATTTGTTGTCTTATATCACATTTTATAATTTGACCAATTGTTTTTGTTATGGACAAGCACTAATACATTTTATTTTTAAATACACTAGCTAGACAAAATAATGCCAGGACAGGGGAGAGATCTGCCAGCACTTGGCACTACCATTTACACCCATGTACCAAGATCAGTGCTGGTATCATGGTGGCAGGCCCCTGCCACTGTCAGATGTAATATCAACGCCCGTCTTTCCATGCTGAAAGCCCACATCCTGAAGGCAGAAGTGAAGGTTATTAACCACTCTTGTGCTGGGGATAAGAGCAGAATTAGTTCTCCGGAGAACACATTCTAATCCATGCTTGAACTGTTCAGAGTGAACATTTTTCTTATATATTATAGGACCATTGTGGGAATTTACGGTTCATTTAGTTTTAATTCTACAACAAGAAAAAAAATTCCTCTGTGCACACAGTCATATCACAATACCAGCCAACAGTGTTACTAGGTTTTTTAGTAGCACAACTATACTACCTCAGCCTGTGCTCTCACAAACCAAGGGTATGTCCACACTACAAGTGCTACAGGGGCACACCTGCAACTATATCACTGTAGTGTAACACTTGCCACATCAATGGAAGGGTGTTTTTGGTTTCTGTAGTAAATCTACCCTCTCAAGAGGTGATAGCTAGGGCCACAGAAATTATTTCATCAACATAGCTGCACCTACAGTGAGGGTTACCTCGACCTATGTTGCACAGCTGTGAAATTTTTCACATCCCTGAGTGATGTAGGTAGGCTGACCTAAATTTTAGGTGCAGACCAGGCCAAGGAATGACAGCATTTGGTCTGTAGTGGCAGGCGCATACCCTACTTCTAAGGTGCTGATGATTGAATAAGCCATTCAGCAGCAGAGGTGTTAATTCAGCACATGCCAGGATAATGCTGGGAGGTGAGAGATGCACTGCATTGGCTGGAATTGCCATCTATGGCCTAAGATGAAAACCTAAGGTCCTGACCCCTTATGTTATTAATGATGCCCTAGCCCCGGTGAATAATGTACAGCGTGTCATGGCCAAATTCAAATGTGTCTAAGGTCTCACCCATCGTTTCAAATGGATATGAGATTCTTGACTTTGCAGCCTTAAACCATTATGTAGGGTTTCTGTGTTATGTGTTAAACTACTACACCCAAGAGTTTGCTGCTTTTCAGTGGTAGATAAAACAATCCCTAAATATACCCAAAAAGCACTTGAGGATCTGTGAGACTGAAAGACCCCATATTGTACAGGGTCTTATTTCTCAGGTCCTAATCCTGCAACCAGATTTGAGCAGACAGGCAGGCCCGTATCCCCATGTGGAGTCCCATTAATTGTGATGAAAATCCAAATGAGTAAGATTCCACTCACAGAATCAGGGCCTTAGAAATCTATTGCCATTACGTTATTAGTAGAGTAATTTCTTTTTGATCCTTCAGCAAATCCAGAACACCAGCTAAGTTTTCTCAGAGAGTCTAAAGAATTCCCCAGTTTCTCCAGACATCGAGGCAAAGCTGCCATTGCCTGCATTTGAAGGGCACAAAAGGTTTCCTGAGGAGTGGTGTCTGAATGCACACTGCACTGAAATTTTATATTTCAATGTGATGTTCTAGAAACTGTCACAAACATGGAGCCCTAATAAAATCAATTTAAGCTTAATCCTGCTTACTGAAGTCTGACTCCAGAGAAGCTAGGCGCTTCTCTCAAATCTCTCTAACCTACAACCCAGTGTTTGTCTTCACTTACAGTGGGGAGCTTTCGGACAACATTTACATTAAACAAACCTAAGGTAAAGCTTGTAAATCTCCCCTTCCCACCCCCTCCAACATAAAACCAGACACGTATTGGAGGGGAAAGGGGCCAGTTTATACTCCGCTCACACAAAGGACCTGGGGGAGCAGGCTATACATAGCCATCTTTGCTGCACAAATGAGCACCTCCATTAAGAATAAAATCTCCACTGCCCCGTGCCCCCCACTGCTTAGGGCCGGGGACAGGCAGCTGGCCGTGCCGCCCAAGTGTTTCAAGCCCAGGCGCTGGGTGGGAGCTGGGCCCCTGCAGCCGAGCTGAGCGGGGTTCACCCCACCGTGCCCCCCCCCCCGGGCCCCGGGCCCCTGCCCCCGCGGCCCCCCCCGGCCTCCCCGCTCCCTCCCCCACCCCCAGCTCCCCCCGCCTTCGCCAGGCCCCGGCGGCCCCCCTCCCCCGCCAGGCCTCCCCCCAGCTCCCTCCGCCCGGCCGGGGAGCGGGAAACGTGCCCGCTGAGCCGAGCCCCGCGCAGGCCGCGCCGAAACGCTGGCCCCCCAGAGCGGGCCCGGAGGGCCGCCCCCGCCCAGGCCCAGGCCCACCCAGGGGCCGCTGCGGCGGGAGGCGGGCCCGGGTGGGGCCGTCGCGGGTGGGTCCCAGCCCCTAGGCCCGGCCGGCCGGCGGCTCCCCGCGCCGGGCCCGGCTCCCAACATGGCGGACAGGAAGCGGCCCGAGAGCCGCGGAGAATGTTCCAGCCGGGCCGGGGGAGGGGGCCGCGGCCGAGCCCCCGCCCGAGGACCCGGCGCAGGGCCAGGGGGGGCCGGGCCGCCCCGCAGCCGGGAAGGTCACGCCGGCCCGGCCGCTCCCGGGGGAGGCGGTGACACGACACGGCAGGGGCCGCTCCCATCCTCCCCCGTCACTGCCCCCCGCCGAGCCCGCCCGGGACCCCCGCCCCGCCCCGCCCTCCAGCCCAGCCCCAGCCGGATCCCGCCCGACCCCCGGCCCGCTTCTCGGCGCCCCGGGCCCCGGCCTCCCGCGCCTCTCCCCGCCCCGGGCCCCGGCCTCCCGCACCTGTTTTCTTCCTCGGCGTGTCCTGGGGCGGCGGGCCCGCGTGCTTGTGCTCATGTTTCAGCGGCGGCTTCGGCGGGGCCTTGGGGCCGGGCTCGGCCGCATGCGGCAGGTAGGGGCTCTGCTGGAGGTGGTGGTGGTGGTTGTGGTTGTAGTAGTAGTAATGGTGGTGGTGGTGCTGCGGCGGGTGGTGGTGGTGGGGCTGGCTGTGCGGCTGGGGCGGGCCGGGCTGCTCCTCCATTGAAAGGGGCTGGGGCTCGCTGGCTGGCTGGCTGGCTGCTGCGCGCTGCACCGTCCGGGCGTGGGGCTGCTCGCCGGGCACACACACGGCTCACACTCCGGCTGGGGCAGACGAGAAGTGTGGCTCTTCCACTAGCGCTCGGCTTGACTGGGGGAGCCGAGCAGACTGGCAGCGTCTCTCCAGCAATCAGGAAGCTTCCAGGGCCCTGTCCCCGCCCCCCCCCCTCTCCATCGCCAGCCAGCG